TAAAGTGGATGCGGAGAAACTAATACAGCAGTTTGCCAACAGAGTGCAGAACTCAACCCATACGTTGTTTTGATAATATATTACTTTTCCATTAAACATGAGTTTTACTATTACTGATGATGGTGTTTAAGGCAGAACAGGATTGTATTTGCCAGGACTGGGTTTCTCGTAATGGCTCAACTCAGTCTTTGAATTTCTTTGGAGAATTTTATATGTGAATCCAAATAGGAGTCTCATCTAGCTCTTCTCTGTATCAGCTGGAGCTCTAAATAATTCATGGAAAGTCAAGAGTTCAAAACACATTTGCATTCACTTGGCTGGTTGTCAATATGAGAACCATCCTCTTCCTTCTAAGAAAGATCATGCAGAAATCAGGGCTGGAAAACAGACATGGCAGTATAAGGCAGCTCACAGCACAAAAAAATCCTGTGCTGATTTTCAGGAAGATTATGTGTTGAGAAGAAAAGTTATCCCTAATTTTCTCTTTCACATGGTTATTTATCATCTGTTCAGTGCTGTGGAATGCCCTACTCTGCTCTCCACTGGCGAGCCCCTGTTCTCTGGCACTTCCCTCTTTCAAGCTGAACACTAGTTTTCTCATTTTTACAATTTGACTCTATCTACAACATCTGGATTTTGTGGCTGTGACTAAAAACTACTTGGTAACTGGTTTGCAGCTGGACAGAAAACTGCCTCAGCTAAAATCATCACTGCAAGACAACATGTTATTAGAAGGTTCTGTGAGATATGTTCCCAGTCCAAATCTATGCTTGTATAGCATGGAGTGATACCTCCATAATATACATGAACCACAGAAAATTGTCACACAATGCTCTTTTCTTCTCAAAGGATGCCTACCAGCTCAACTTTTGCTGTGGTCAGTCACCATTTCCATCATAAAGTTCTACTCTGTCACACTTAAAAAATATGGCAATAAAAGATCTTGCCAAGACTAAACTTGGCATACAAGTTCTGTCCAGAAGTAACCTCAACTAATCTTTGTCAGCTAGCAAGTGAAGTGACTTAGTCATTTTTAAATCACTTGAAAATGAAAGCTGTAGAGGTTCTGGTTCTCATCATTTTCTTGCAGTCACTGCTCTGCACTTTCAGCATCCCTTAAATGTTCAGCTGGACCAGTTTTCAAGGACTCCTGGGGAACCTGACTGTCCTGAGGAGCTTTTGTGTCATGGGTGGGATGGCATATGCTGCTCCATGGCAGATTTCAGGTTCCACAGGCTGAAAGGAGATCTTAGAGCTGATTTCTATGTGCTGTGCTGCCTGCAGCCTGGGAGTGAAGGTAACAAACCTGGGTCTTTCCCATTTGCACCACTGGAGATACTGGGTGTAGGAACAGGGATCTTACAGCTCTGACAAGCACATCTCAGATACATCATGGAATCACTGGGAATACTTCCAGGCAACCATACAGAGGTGTCTGTATTCATCACTCTTATCTCATGACCTGCTTATGGAGAATTAGATTTGTAGAAATGAGTCCTGCAAAGTGCTCTGGAACACTGCATTTTAACAGAAGGACAGTCTATACAATATTTACTCAGTCATTTTTTTTGAAAGCTAATGTAGCAGAGGAATTCTTCAAAAGTGGCTTTTCTCTACACTTAAATCTAAGTTCTGTCTGTTCTCTGTACCATTGCTGTCTGCAACTGAGATGCTCTCACTTGCATCTGAACCCCCAAGTTCCACCAGCGCACCCTGAGCTCAAAGAGGTCTTTGCTAATGGATCATCCTGTGGGATCTGATCTTCATCCATATTTGAAGTGATTTATTTTGACATCTGCAGATTTTCAAGAACAAAGAGGGAAAATGAATTATCACTCTGAATATCTGCCCCATTCTGATTAATCATGCACATGACGCACATAAAGACTTCTCGAGAGCTCAGTTTTTTGCCATCATCACGGCTCAGCTGCTCTTTTCTAGACCATTTCTAACCATTCATACTCTTCGCAGTTCAGCTTTCATGTTGCTACAATGTGTTAGCAATTAATGCACAAAAAACAAGCAGACAATTGTTCTATTTCCAGGGAATAAAATCTCCAAAGACACAAAATTAAATATAAACTATCCATCCTTCCCATATCCTAGGATTTCAAGGGAAAGCAAGTAACTAATTCCCCAAAGACATCATGTGGTTGAGACCATGGTTAACAGACACTTCAATATGACACACATTTTACAGCTCCTGAAGTCCTGTCTCCTCCTAACCATTCACTTCCTGCTTCTCCTTGGTGTTAGTACTCACAAGTATTTCAGAAACCCCATCATCAGGTGGGCCACAGAGTTGTCTCTACCAAAACCAAGGGGTTTTAGCTTAGTTTAGCTTTCAGCAGGTCAAGCCCTTGGTATGACTCATATGTAAGTACCACAGAAATGCCAGAGGAGGAGAGGGTGAAATGAGGTGAGGATTGCATAAGCTGTGTGACTGCCAAAGAAATGCTCATGTGAGCACAGCCCCAGTCCCAGCCTTATTCCTGCGGGCAGCAATGTGAGCAGGAGCCTGCTTCCTCCCCTGGCTTCTCCTCTGTCCCTCCCCATTGGCAGTGGCAGCCTCCCAAGTTCTCAGGGTCTGGAGCAGCATCTCTGAGTTAGCAGGACTGCTAAGAGGTGCTGGGAAAATCCCAGCAATACCACAGTAATGATCAGCACTTGTAACAAGACATTTACAACCAAAGGACACCGCTGGGATCTGCTGCAGGGCAAGTGAAGTTTCTCCTCAGTCAAAATGCTGTCACTGCTCAAGGGCTGAAGGGGGAGGTTATAGCATGGACCCTGAGAAAATGAGGAGAGAGCAAAATTGAAAATCATAACATACTGTTACACTTTCACTTGAAATCTTTTCCCTAAGCAGATCCTGTGCTCAACAGCCAGATGTCACAACAAGATGAGGATGTTCCTACTGCCTGAAGCAAACTTCACTCGGAGCAAAAAAACATTCCAGATGCAGCTGACTGGACTGTGATTTCCATCACTTTCAAGCCCGACATTGCCTTTTGTTCTGCATGAAACATGCCTTTGGAAAACCAAGGAAAACTTGGTTTAATAAACACCAAATTAGAGGAAATGCATTTGCCTCCTTGACATCTTGTAAAATGTCACTAAGAAACACAATATTTCAGGTCAGTACTTGTTGCAAAGCTGCTGCTCTCAATATGGCCCATGTTACAGCAAGGGAAGTGTAACTGGCTGAATGGACTCCAGAATCACCTTTCTCCTAGAAAGGTATCTCAAAGGAGCAAGAGTGATGGTACGAAAGTCCTGCTGCTTATAAACAAATTGAGGCTGGACTGACAGTCCTTATAGAAGACTGCTTCACTCATTTAACAGTACCTTGTGGAGTGGAGGAAATACAAGTTTAAAATACTAAATCTAAAACTTCCTGGTTATCTATATGCTCCAAAAGCTGACAGAACTACTTGTATACAAAATTACTTACTTTACCAGCCACACCTTTAAAACAAAAGTACTCAAAAAGCTGAGCAGGCAACCCTGCTTTCCTCATGCTGGGAAAATGTTCAGCTGTCCATGTACACCAGATTTACAGGCCTTCTGTGTCAATCTGACAACCCCAAAAGATTCAGGCAGGGAAAAGATTTAGCTCTATAAATACTATTGAACTTCTCTTTCCACTGGCTGCAGATCAATTCAGTGCAGAAGAAAAGCCCATAGCTAAGGCTGGAAAAAATATAGAGTTGGGTTTTCAGAAATGCTCTGCATTTGTCTAGTCCAGCTCTAGTTTAAACAGGTTAAGTCCCATAACTGAGCACTTTTGGAAGTCAAAACACGACTGCTCACTAAGGCTCTGGAGTAATTGCTTCTTGGTCAAGATGGTATGTATGCTAAAAGGTATCAGAGGCTGCATAATGAAAACAGAGGCTGTGCTCTTTTGCAAGTCTCGTGGTATGAAACTCAGCTGGTTTTGCCCTGCACAGGTTCCCCTAACTGTTCACTTGGTTTCTATCCATCTGGAGTTTCACCACAGAATTTTGCTTTGAGTTTCCCATTTAAATACATGAAAGCTCTGCCAAAACCACATCACATTCAAACCACAGGAAATCATGAATTTGGCACTGTTTTGACATGGAAGCTGTAAACAGTGTGCAGGTTCACTCAAAACTGGATTGCTGTCCTTTGAGTTATGAAACACAACAAAACTTCCAGCAAACCAGGTCAGAAATCTTAACTACTAAAGCAAAGAGAAATTATGAAACTTCTGCAAGGATCAGGGTTTTTTTGAATATTATCACCTACATTTTTTCCTTCAACTATAAACCTAATATGTGAAGAATAAAAAGAAAAGTTAAGTTTCCTCCTTTCCAAGTTTGAGTTACAGCAGGATTTAGCTAATTCTCACAGCTCTAACATATACATATACTATTAAAGACAAGGTAGTTTCCTATTGGCAGCTTTGAGCATGAATAACTAAAAGTTAGATAGGAATATGGTTTAGTTTTATGTGGAATATGATAAGTAATCAATTTGCAGGTAACTTACACTACTGCATGGAGCCTCATGATTAAAATCTAGTATATTTTCAGTTGCCAAACACAGGATTTTTTCCTCTCAAGATTCCAATTAGCAAACCACAGGAACTTGTATGAAAACAGAAAAGTCTAAAGTATGATTTTTGACTTCAAATTAAATGCTGCCCTAAAGAAACACAACTTGTAAAGAAGTCACAAGTTCATTGGGGATGAAATGAAAACAATCTAGATTCCAGACCAAGCCCGAGAACAATCCAGATTCCAAACCAGAGTTTGAATGCAGAACTACATGAAGGTGGTTTGACTGAAGTCAATGAATAGTAAGCAAAATGCAGTCACCCAAAAGAAGATTTATATTACTGTATTGCCTGCAAGAAAACAGAGTTTAATCCAGCTGAGTTTCACTTTAACCAGATTTTTACACCTGGCACTCTGAATGTCAGGAAAAGCTCTCCAGGGATCCTGAACACACAGAAGCATACATCAGCCATATCTGACCTGTCATGGAGTTCTCAGATGTGCACAGTTGCTCTCGCAGCTTTTCCACGTCGTCTGGATGAACCTGCTCGTACAAAGTGCTGCCAAACCACTCCGACTGAGGCTGGTTCAGCACGGGAGTCACAGAGTCTGACACGTAGATCACTCTCCCCGTCTCAGCTGCAACTACAAACAGGAACCCATCTGCAGCCTCCAGGATAAGGTGTTTCAGTTCCTTCCAAAGAAAGGATTTGATTAGAATGCCAGCGAGGAAAGGGAATTAAATATAACGTCTCTCACTGTCAGAGAATATTGTTTTTTTGTGATCTTAGTAGCTGATCAAAACTGAGACAGAAATTTTCACTGATGCAACAATACAACCAAACTTGCAGCAAGGTATAAATTGCCCATCTCAATAACAAACAACATTTCATCTTCTGTTATTGCCCTTCATCTGCTGATCTCCATGCACTTAAGGAAAATAAACAACTAATACCCACTGTATAATCTGTGATAGGGATCTAACATTAAAAAATAAAAAGGTATTTCAGAGTACAAACAGAGGAAATGAACAGCTCTAACTCATGGCAAACTAATTAAAAGCTCTGAATAATTTAACTGGAAAGAAAGCAATAAGACTTTCTAGTTTGGTTCTCCCTGGCCCTGCTCAGGATGAGCTCTGTTTGTAAATTAAACAGTCACCAGACAAAAGGCAGAAAGTGTAATGGGTATGAAGACAGAATCCCCAGCCTCTCTTTCCAGTAGGGGCCCTAAGCCACTACACAAGAAGGTTCTATTGCTTTTTGACTTCTTTTTCCAGCCTGTGAGTATGAAGCCTCAGCATCACACAGAAATACTCCCTTTCCCTTAATAGAGCTTGAAAACCTCTCATGGCAAAGGATGACAATCACCACTCCAGTTCCTGGAAAAGAAGCTTGAACAGCCTTTGGTGGCTCCAGTGACCACCAGAACTTGGTAAGATATTGCACCTGGAACGCAAACCCAGAGCTCTGGACAAGCTGAGTCCCATTCCAGGTGGGACAGCTCAGCAGGGTTAGTGTCTGAGTGGTAGATATTAGCTGATAAGGTGAGGATAAAAATCTGGTGAATACTAAGAAATGGGTAACTCATCTCAAGAAACTCAGACTGTCAACTTCTGCTGCTTTGTTTTAGAGAAAGAACATTGATCCTGAACTACTGACTAAACAAAAAACCTCATAGCACAGCTGGTCACACTATACTTAGGATAGTATAATCAGTTTTGCCCATTATTAAAAATGATGAAAGCAAGCTCTGTAATTCTGCAAGATTTAAAAAAAAGAAAAAATTGCAGTGAGAAGTAACTAGGATGTGCCACCAGCAGAATGGCACAGTCCCTCCAGAAACACACTCCAGGAGAGCAGGAATAAGCAGTAGTGAGCACTGAGGGGTCAGCAGCAGCTGCTGTTTATCTAAGAGAAAGAAGTATTGCCTCCAGCCATAACTTCCATGTGTAAGTGCTTAAATCACTTCAGACCACAAAAATGAACAGTACACCCATAGGACTTTGAAAACAATGGAGGTGGTAGGAATTTTCAATGTGCTCAGTAAATAGTTTTCCATCAAGCACTGGGCGCACCTTCCTTCTTCCATCAAAAATGTAACCAAGAAGCACCTCCAGTACAGATGGGATTCATCTCTGCCCGGTTGTTTTAGTCTTGATGCTGGGAACTCCAGCATCAAGACTAAATGATGTTTTTAACCTTCCTCTAATCCCCTGAGAGAGAGGCAGGTCTTTCCAGACTGATTTTTACTTTGTTTAGAGAATCTCCATTAGTATGGGAAGAACCCAGATTTGGAGGTGAAAATTCCTTTCTTTGAGGCAGTGAGTGACTTGTTTTTCAGATGGACAGATCTCAATGGTAAGAATGCCAATTTGCTTCTCCAAAAAGAAGCATCTATCACAGTGTTAAGATCAAGTCCAAGCAGTCACAAAAACCCATCTGTATTCACACCTTGGGTATGTAACTGGTACCAGCTGCTCCACTACAGTGAAGGATCAAGCTGAGGCTCTACTCCTCTCAGCATTTCCTTACACCTTTTGAGACCAAAAGACCAGGGATAACCAACATTTTTTTTGTAAATTCTACCTGTTCTGTAAGAAAGGAAGGCTTGTAAGCTCCATCAGTAGATTTGTTTCCAGTGCCCCTCATGGATTTCATGTGGGAAACAGCCATGCGAAGGATGGTCAGCTTGTCGGGCTTACGGGCCAGGGCGCTGCACGTGGGCACCATGTCCGACAGCTCAGTGATGTATTGGGTCATCTTATTTCTCCTGCGCCTCTCGATCTCACTGTGGTTCTCCCTGAGCATTTAAAGAAACACCAAAGCAACAGGAAAGAGATGTGAGCAGTGTAAGAATCTGAATCGGAGGTAATGAATCATAACGCTTCACGCTTGTTTTGCTGTTTGCACCCCAGGAGAGCAAAGTGCTTTACAAAGCCAACCACTGTTATCCCTCCATTTACAGACAGAAAATCCAGGCCACAGACAGATAAATATGATTTGCCCATAGCTGTGAAAAGAACCTGTATTTCTGTTTATTGGCTTGTGGCCTTAATCTCTTAACCAGCTTAATCTCCTTTGGTTTAAGGACGAAAAGAAGTAGAAATATGTGAGGCACTAACATCTGCCAACTCCAGTCAAACTCCCAGATTTGCTGTGATGCCTCTCTCAGCTTCTCATAGAAGGAGTCCTTTAGAGGACACCTCTCACTAACAACTGGATCAGGTCAGCAGGAAACATCAGCACTGACTTATGAAAAAAACCCACTCAGTGACAACACAGATGCCAAACAATTCTATTTGGAACACCCCACATCCCTGCAGGGAGTCACTACATGCCTGAGCATCAGACTGCAGCACTGGGACCGTATATGGGATAACAGTACATAAAAAAAAAAAAAAAAATCCCAATAAATAAATAAGTACGAAAGACAGCAAGTAAACATCTGGCTTGTCAGACATAGACTGGAATTTATGTTCAGGGACAATTTAGCACAGCAGGGAAGCAACAATGACAGTACTTGATGCTGCCCCAAGTTGGGCTAGGCTGCAATGTTCTCATCCTTTAGAGGAATCATATGGCTGAGGTGGTGAGCCAAATTTGAGAAATCCCAAAATGGACACCCACCAGAATCTTTCAGAAATAAACATCTCAGAGTTCAGTTTTCCCATTCTGGAAATCACCATTGCTTGATCAGCATTAAGGAGTCACAGCAATATATACATCTGAAATGGTCCAAATGGACCTAGAATGCTTCAGTGCCCAGCACTTATTCTTATACTGTACCTGTCAGGTGGCAGCTAAATACAAGTACACGACTGGTAGATGATGCTTCAGTTGTCAAAGCAGCATCTTCCACTGATTTCAATGAGCTGTGCATGGCATTGTCTTGTGGGATCGCTGGCTGATCCAACAAGATGTGAGAGGTGATCACTTGGAGAGTCCACCAGCATTGACTGATGTGATAACACAACATTAAAAGAAACTGCAACATTCTTTGGAGCTGAATGCTATGCAGACCGACCATGAAAGCAGAAGCTAGGCTTGGCACACATTTTGGACACTTTTAGGAATTAAGCCTTTTCTTAAAATGCAGGAAAGAATTGTACGCTGCTTCCTGAAATAGAGGAATGCAAGGGCTTGCCCAGCTTTGGGTATCCTGCCCCTGCACATACAGGTGTTACATGCACGAGGCACAGTCTGCAGAAACAACACTTGTTAGGGCTACATGCAGTTATTATTCCTGTGCTTACTGTGTGATATGCAGGAAATCCAGCTATGACAGCCCATGGCTGCCCAGTAAATTACAGCCAAGCCTTGCCTGAGGTCACTGTCCAGGACACTGTAGTAGTGAACCTTTCATTTCATCTGGCTGAGGGCAGTCCTCGTGTGGGACTGCACGGATGTAGGAGGGAACAGGGGGAGCTGGATCACACACACAGCTGGTGTGACACATGTACACACAGCACACATGTGCACGTGCCAGCTGGGACATGCAAGTAAATATGGACACGGGGAAGAGAAAAGCATTTTTACATGATGAAAGCTTGCTCTAAGTTCAGCATTTTCACAGAAGCGGTGGTTAAGAAAAAAAGAGAGAGAGAGACAAAGAACAGACAGATTCAACATATATTTCACACTTGCAAGTACATAATACATTGTCTACCACTCAAGTATTTTAGTACTTCTGGACATTGAAAACAACCCTTATAGAGACTAAACAAAGACTGTAAAACTTCCTGAGAGAAAAGGGGTACCCGAATAGTCCATTTCATTTATGATCTTAAAAGCTAGAAAGTAACAGCATGTTAATCTACTGGCTATGGAAATGTTCAAGCAGATAATACCCCAAAAGCTTCCTGAAACTAGTTCAAATTTAGATCTTTAAAAGAAAAAGAGGGGCTGTGCTCCTCTTTCAAAGTATGTGTCCTAGGAACCCTGGCATTCACAAACTTGTACAGAATGATGTCCTAATTCTGTCATTTCTAACTTTGTTTTTATATGGAGATTACAAAGGGACATTAAATTTTGGGTTACAGGGGAGCTGATCCAAACCACTAAGGGTTTGTATTTCTGAATTCAAGTAGTTTTAGAACAGCCAAAGTATCAGTATGAACAGCATTATATAAAAGAAAAATGGGGGCAAACCATATTTGACTTCCCTTTTTCCTACCTTTCCCTTCTGTGTCAGCACTACTTTGATCATCATCCCACCTAAAACAAAATAACCATCTCTCTAAACTAAGGCACACGTACTGAGATTTTTTTGGACACGAACATCCCCCTCTTTTCTCTCAGCAGAAGAGCTCTACAGGACACGCCTACCTTGCAAACTTTTCCTTATCACCAGTGATTTGATCACCATCATACCTAGAAACAAAAGATAGTACATCAATCAACAGGGGTTATGCATGGCATGATAGCCTACACACAGCAGAAAGCAAAAAAAATTCACAACTGCAAACCATTACAGATAACAGCAAGAAAAACAAGGGAATGAGAATGATAAAGCAGATAACACAGAGCCTGATCCAAGCCATGCCAATCCAGAAACTTCATTTGTATATTTAAAAAAAGAGAAGACACATTTCAGTGGATTTAAGCAAACACTTTGACATACACTGATTTCTTGGGAAACTTAACAAGCAGCACTAGTACAGAGAACACCAGTGAGCTTTTATCCACAGCAGAGCATGAAATATTCATTGCTGTGCTGGAAGTGAAGGGGCTGTATCTGTTCCAGCTTGCAACCACAGCTCGCTCCATTCAGCAGAGGGCACTGATGGTCTACAGATAACACGGGAGGGCAGAGACAGGGCTGAAGGGTGATGCCTTATGTAAAGGAGCCTTCAGGAAAAAGCCCTGCAGGTACAGACACTGCACTGCCTGTCCTGTCGAGGAGGCTGGCAAAAGGCAGGCAGGCAGGTGAAACTGCTGGGTAAACAGAAGTGAAATTTAAGCTGGCTCAATTCCCTAGAAGTAAACAGGTACCTCATTCCTACTCAAATCAACAGAAGTTGGATGCCCAGCCAGGGATGTGTGGTGTTTGAGCAGCACCTTTGTGGAGGAAATCCAGACCAATGGGACTTTCGTCCTGTGGGACTAAAGCTTCACTGTTTCTGAAACATTGTCCCAAAGACAGGCAGCAATGTGACATTTCAGTAAAAAATGACACGCTGCTCCTCTTTCTCTTTCCTAAAAAACACACTTATCATTTTAAATTGGATTTTGGTAGCATAGTTATGGAAAGACTCATTTGTTTGAAATGAAACTGCTAGTTCCAGAAAAAAAAAAGGTATGTTTTGGAAAACACAAAAATAAGGTAATAGCTTTTCTAGAACTGAAGACTATAACTGCTCACGAACAGTTTAATGAGGTTTGGTATTAAACTTACACCTTTCCAAAAGGATGTAATTTATTACAACAGACAGGTCCCATGTATTAGCTAAAAATGTAATACAGCCTAAATAAGCATGTTTTTCTCCTCTTCTAACAAATCAATAATGAACTTTTTCTTTTTTTCTGTCTGAAATGAATTAAAACAAATTGTAAGGAATCCACCTTTGCAAGTTCCTCATTCAAACAGTAAAGACAAAGCTTAAGCAAGTCTTGAGCTGTACTTCTTTATGTTGTGTTCAACACCAGCACCCTCAGAATATTCAAGTGACAGTGCCACTTTATTCCCCTTGACTCTGCACAGAGAACAGACTGAGACCGAGTAATTTTCAGCAAGAAGACCAATTCAGTGAGGAACAGGCACGTTACAGGGGAAGCACATGCACAGGCTCCGTGTGAGATGAGGGGTCATGCAGGGATACCTGAGCTGAGCTGGAAGCTCTGAGGAGCAGAGTGTGTCTCCTGCCATGGAGCACTGTGCAAACACCACTACTCTGTGCTCCCACCAGAGCACAGTGGGGCTTGGCTACTCATCCTCCTCTGCCTAACTGGGCTGAGGATGCCATTGCCTCCAACTACTGCTTTTTCCCTTACAGTCTCCCAGCTGACCTCTGCACACATGCTCCTCCAGGCACCTCAGTCAAAGCCAGCTGGGTTAGCTTCAACATTTAAACAGCAGCTCTTTGATAACTAAATAATTTCGACCTAAACAAGCTAGGAATAAGTCATGCAAGCAATCTGGAGAACAACTAGAAGAGGATGTCTGAACATAGCCCTGGGCGTCTCTGCACGTTTCTTCTGTATTCTCTAAAAACAGAACAATCTGGGGTCTGACACCTAAAACCAACTGAGTCTAAGCACAGCACAGCATAATGCTCTATTAAAAGTAATGGAATTACTGGCTTAACCCACCAAATTTTGAAAGGCCAAAACCAGAATGAGGAACAACCAACACATGTGTATCATGGTGCCCAGAAACCCTGATGCTTGTGCAGGCACAAATCAGCTCCCATTCCTCACCAGTCTTGTTCCCTTAACATGTCTCTTCTAGCTAATATTAGGACTAGGCCCTCAAATCACCAGTTTTAACACCAGGGACTGGTTCTGTAAAGGAAATCAACCAAACAGGAGTGCTGCTGGTCTTGCCCAGTAAATTATGACATGGTGCCACAGTGCATCTTCAGCACACTTCTCTTTCTGACTGGAATAACCCTGTTAATGTCTACAATGACAGCTGTGCTTCAACATGGCTGCTGCTACAGAGCTGCAATTACAATGTGGATAATCAGCAGTTACCCAAAGTATCTACACCCCTCACTGCAGCTGCTTGGTTTCTAATGAAAAAATGCAAACAGTGTGACCAGGAAAAATAAAGGAAAAATGAAAAAAATGGCAATGAGGCTTTACTGTTTATTTCTAGCTTTGAATACTCCATGTTAATTAACATTTTTTTGTCAATTTTTATTATTCAGTTACACCTAATGGTACATAATGTAAAACTCATTAACTTTAAAAAAACAATCCACCTCTAGGATCTGCCAAATTGGCTTAACAAGCAATTAACATCTGAAATAAAACAGAAATGAAATTTCATTTTCAGTGGCCGAAAGACAACTTCAGCAATGTCAAACAACTTACGTCCATCTACAGCAGTTGAAATACTAAGCTAAAAATCACAGGTTTTCTCCTTTGATTTAGCTGCAGAGTGAAATTGTGACACACACACTGTCAGCTTTATAAGCCAATAACTACATTAGGCAGGTTTCTCCCAGAATGCCTAATTTTCAGAGGGAGCTGATAAAACAAGTAACTGATATTTGGGTCAAGCTGTTGCAAGATCTCCACCCCTACTTATATAGATTTTCAAACATCAGTAATGAGACAGCCGTCTTTCCCCACTGAAAGTCGTCAGTGATTTGGCCAACTCTTCTGTAAATGCTCACCTTGAAAATTTGCTGGGCCCCTCCCCATCTTCATCATCAAAGTCCATTCTGTAAAAGCAAGATTTCCAAATCAGCACTCAAGGCTTGGCAAGGGTGGCATGAACATTCAGGCCAGCTGCTCTCAGTGTTGTTAGGTTTGTGTTTTGCCTAGAGGTGTTAACGACTGAGGATTCCAGTCTTGCTCATCACCTCCAGACCCAGGAGCAGCTCATCAGCTGATTTATGTCCCAGACCTTCTCAGGGCTGTGGAAGAGCCGAGTTCTTCCTTGGGCCAAATCCCAGCCCACCAGTTTGGCTCCTTCAGGGAGGCACAAAAAGCAGGAACCGCTTTCTTCACTTCTTACACAGACAGACCAGGAAGATTATCTTCCTAATTTAGCATCTAAATTAGATTCTGATTAGGCAGTGTGATTGTATCATAGATGTTATCACTACAGAGTTATACAATAGTATAATTTACAAAGCATTTTAGACATTTTTATACCTCTAAAAAGAGGTGGATAAATATTTATATCTGCAAATAAAAGGATGTAACTCTGCCATTAGACAGTCAAGCTGACATAAAATTACCATATACAATTATTGTATTAATGTATTTATTTTAATAAAAACGTACATTAGTATGACATACAAACCTTGACCAATCACTTTTAATTTGCGTAGATAGGGAATTATAGTTTTGTTTTGCAAACATTTTCTCAGATTTCTTCAACACTCTAAGCTTTCCAACCTTTCAGCATAGTAAAACTGCATACAACTACAGATTCCATATCTCTAACACTTCATATTAACAGGTATAAGTCCTATTAAGGGCAAAACTCTTCAAAGTGACAGTGATATTTATTTCAGTATTAATTTGTCATTCCTACCAAAGACAAATTGAGATTTGTATGTCCACAGCGTGAGAACAAAGATGCAAAACCAGTCTCTAAAACTACATCAGCATAGAGAAGTGCCAGTCAGGCACTGCCTTCCTAAATTCTTCCTTAAATTCTGATGACCAAGCCAGGCTGGCCCATGTTTCTGAGTCACAGCAACCTCCGTGCAATTGGAATGAGGGCAGCAAGTCAGCACAGGAATTGGACATGGCTCTAGAAAAGTTACAATAATATTTTCCAGATGGTAACGCTGATTATTCATTTCTGGAGGAAGCAAAGAGAAAACCATTTTCCCCAAAGAGCTTTAAGAAAAGCTGTGTGTTTAACTTGCCCAGCTTTGATGCAATCGTCGTTTTCACTATAAATTACATCTTTGCTCACCTAATTACCACCAAATCCGGTTCCAAGGCCCGTGATCCCGCAGCTGCCTCATGCAGAACACCACCGACCCCCAGTGGCCACGGGGCTGCAGCTAAGGCAGGACCCCAAATGTGACCCTCAGGGCTGCCACCAGCAGCCTGAATCCCTCTTGATTCACTTGCAGCACTCCCAGAAATTTAACATTTACACATGTGGTACAGCCCAGGGTCTCCTCTCACCTACCTGCTTCCTCCCCATATGCAATAATGTGACATTCCAGAAAAAACCTCTCATTTATACGAATTAGAATGCTTCTACCTGCACTGAAAATGCAGAAATCAATGTTAAGGAGAGCTGTTTGTTTACAAGTGGAGGGCAACACTGGGATTGCTCCACCTGAAGCCACTCACAGAAGCATCACATCAGGCACATCCTTATTTGGTTTCTCTGGCAGCTGAAACACACCTGAGAGAAACACAGTTTCAAACCAGGGGCAAAGGGCTGCAGAAAAAATTATACACCTGTGGAGGAAAGCCTTTTCTTTAGGGACTTTATGAGACTCTGCTTTAATCTGGGACAGATTAATTTTGATACTCTTTTCCTTCCCCTCCAGAACACTGAGATCACATGCCTTGGTGGATAAGATTCTCTGATTTATTTAGCTTCCAGCCAAATACTCCAGCTGAGTGCTAAGGGATGAGTTTTACCCAAAATCAAATATTAGCTGTACTGCATTTAATCTAGTTTATTATTACTGGAATACAATGCAGAGAATTAAGAGATGATGTTAACAGTTTAAGGCTTGATCCTGCTGCCTGCACTGTATCACCACCTCTGAGGATGTGAGGGTGACTAACACACCTTCATTAACGTATTTATTTACATGGTTGGATATCAGATTCTTCCTTAAGGAAATTCTTGATGGGTTAATATCCTCAGGTAACACCTCCCACATTTACAGTGGGCTCATCACAGCAGAATCTGAATGCATAGGGTATAACATCAGTCTGCACCAGACGAAGTCTTTAAATAATGCCTTTCCTTTGTTAAACTACCCAAACTCCTTTATTTCATACAGAACTTGAACATAAATTTCATTTAAAATATCAATACTTTAAAAAAATCCAACAGCAAATGCATCTCTGTTCTATCTTTGTTAATAACACATTTCCTAATTTCACTGTGCAAAATGAAAAACCCTTTGAAACATTAAAAAGAAACTCCCTCAGATATAAAGTCATTGATTCCAGTGTCCTGCCTGATCCATTGTGTCTGCTTTACAGCAAGGCAGAAAGAAAGGCAGTGAATCAGTTGTAACCTTTAGTAGAACACAGCAGAACATGTAAAAATAATATTCCATCAACCTCCTCATACCCTGACAGATAAGATCTTCTGTTTAGATAGAATATACTGCACATTAGCAAAACAGTAGAAGCAGCCTCCCAGAAGACAAATGACATCATTTCAGAAGATTCAGAAAGACTATCTTTTATCTTCATTTAAAATTCCCATTAAAAAAAGGCTTTAAAAAAGAGCTGCACTATGCTCTTTTGTTTTGAAGAGACAGCATAAATCTTGTTTTCCTCTTTCATACTGTTCACATCAGTCGTGAAAAGGTCTGATGCATGAGGTACTTATTAAAATGTATTTTCCTTAGAAGATGTGTGGCTACCATAAATTCAGTAATAAAAATGCATTTATAAAATTAATTTTTCTTAATTAGAAACATTTTCTTAAAAAAAACCAACAAACCAAAATGCCTCCAACAAGGTGGACCTGCACATATTAAAACATCTGACATGTGAGAGGATTTAAACACTGCAACAAAATTACTATGTAAAATTCCCAAGAAATGTCAAAAGATGCTTGCCATGATTACAGAGTGTAGGAAGAGAGCAGGCAGGAATGGTCAGGAGCAAATGCAGCTGAGAAGCAGATGGGGATCTGTATTACAGCCTTTTATTGAGCACAAGATTGAGGGGTAGAATGGTGGAGTGAGGTCTCTTTTCCCCAGATTTTGCTAGTTCTGGTTCAGAGAAAATGCAAGACTACACCATGAACCAAAACAAAACCAATGCATGTGAAACCAATTCATCCAAAAAACCCCAACCCTCCCTGCCCAAGTACAGACAGCCCAGGAAGGTGAAAAAAGCCCTCCATCCTCTAATACAGCAAAGCCTGCATCAAAACCACATTAAATAAAGAACTGAGGGTGCATTAATTCAAGGTAGTCATTGACCACTGCAGTGCATTATGCTGTCACTTTTTTCTATGAAGTAGTTGGTATAATTTATAGAAAGGAAAAATATATTTTTCCAAGCTGTCAATGAAGCCAAATGCCGACACGGCAGAAACACCTTCTGGACAGCCAATGAGTTTAAACTGATCTATATTCAAGTCCACGCAGCAATTATTCTGCCAGCTTGCCTCAGCAATTATGAAAAAAGAAACAATTTTCAGAGATAACCAAAACTGGGAAGGCTGTGTATGCTAGCTCCACTCCTTTATGTTTGACACAGAACACTCCTAAACTGCCCAAGGATTGAGGTGTACAAAGATGTATCACCAGCAGTGAAAGGACCAAGTGTTAGTTGCAACTTTGTTCAAAGAGAAGCTCAGAGGAATCAGACACAGCAGGCATTCTTTCCCTCAAGGACTGAATAGACACAGAGCAAACGTTAAAAAAAATATCTAAAAATAATAAAATGCACTCTCAGCTCAGGCTTGGAGAAAGGCAATTAGTTCAGAGCTGTAGTGCACAGATGAAATACCACAATCCAAGTATAAAAGTGGATCCATACTAATTTACTCTCTGAATTAACATGTTAAAGACATTTAAAATAATTTGATTAAATGTTCCTCCACCCTCCCCTCACTTCACCTTCTTACAAACAAATGACAATATTTAAAATGCAACAGTTAAAGCATTTCAATTAATATCAAGTCAGTATTTAATATCACAATATTTCACAGTCAGCAGCATCAAACCTTGGCAACAGTAAATTGCAAACTGATATTCAGAGCTGACATGGTTTATGATCAAAAAAGAGATCAAATATCCTGCAACTCAAGTACAAAACCTTATCTACGTTAGGTAGCAATGAAAAGATGTTAATGCTTTGTCTTTTCTTTTGAGTGCACGTTGAAAAAGGTTTTCTCATTCAGCAGCTTGAAAATAAAATGTGATGCCTGTCAAAGACAGATTTTAGGAGTTTCTCAAACCAATTTCATACAGTTAGCTCAGCAGAAGAAGGGCACTCAGTGGGGAGCAATATTCAAACTGTTCTGTCCCCTCAGAACAACCATCCAGCGCTCACATCACACCAACCTCGCTCCGCATTCGAGGCAAGGTCAACCTTCTCCCTGGTTAATTCGCTCCAAGATTAAGGGATGGGCTTTCCCAAGATTGAGACTCCAGCGCTGTTACTGGAGCAGACACACAAAGCTGGCAACGTACCTTGGTGAACAATCCCTAGAGCAGCTCTTGCCAGGAATAATGTCCTCCTTAGCTGTTTGCCAGTGAATATTCCACTCACTGCTGATCCTGTTAAGCCCCACTACTGTCTGATTTAGGACTAAATATAAGACTAATCAATCTCTTTTGAAGAGACTCTCAGATCAGTCATGTCTGAGAAAGCACCATCCAAAGACCATTACTATTTGTGATTAACCTTTGATAAAAACAGGAGGGGGTTTGTAACACTAGAGAGTAGTTTTCTGTTCTTCTCAAGCTCTTGCTACACTTTTCTTCTAACACAGAGAATTACTATGAGTTGCCACAGAGCAATCTGATGTGGGCAACTACCCCTACACCACACCAGTCTCTGACACCACACACAACTATTTTCTTCTTTAGCAGAGCCCTCAAGCTTGTGGAAGGGCTGAATTTGATTCAGTCCCTCCCCCCCAGCAGAAGACTGTGCTGCTTCCAATGAGACCTAGAGTACCATAGTCCACAACCTCTGAAGAGAGAGCTCTCATGGTATTTCTGTACCTGGAACTATAAAGAAAACATCTTTAACAGGCCTCTCTTTAAGAGATTTGAAGTGTAACCTTTAGATGAAATGGAGTAAGTCCTCATGTGCAATCTCGCCACCTTTTTTCATTTGATAAATCACTGTGAGATTAAACAGACATAGGCAATATGCATTCATTGTACCTACAACAGCCACAGGATACAAACTCCTTTCTGGATGCTTTGCCAAACCTGAAAATCTTTTGAAACAAGCAAAACAACAAGCCATATGCTTATCAGCAAGTTTGATCTTGCAGGAAGAACAGATGCATTGAAGAGAAAAACAAAACATCAGTGACTAATGTCATAATGCAGTTTATGTAAATATAACATTACATAATAAACACATACATATATACAGGTGCATTTTAAGTTTTCCATGACAGGTAATTTCCAGTTTCAGACCTGAAAAAAAAAAAAAAAAGGAGAAAAAAGGAGATGGCTTACCCAGAGCGACGCTTTCCTCCTCTGGAAGGCATGGATCCTGCCATCCTCACTTGTCCACTCGTCATCGGAGCCACCGGCAAGGCCACCGAGCCAGGAATGTCCGATGCCATTTCTGTAAGGCAGAGGTAGGGGAAGAGGTGGGGGAAATCCCTTAATCCATTACCTTCAACAAGAAACCTCTGCTGATAACCTTAGAGACAGGCCCTTCCCAAAACAAAGAGAGAAAGCTTTCCATTTTATTTCTAAGGAAAAGTAAAGCTCTCCTACTAAAACCCAGCAGAGTCACTGATTCTTTAGAAAAAGCCCAGATCAACAGACATTATGGTGCCTGGGAGACAGAGAGAATTGCAGGCAGGTATCTCTGTAATTCCACTGACCTAATGGTTCTCATTTTAAGTCTCAAAGAGGCTGTCAGACGAAGGCCAACAACCTTCTACAACAGTTAAAGTGCCTTGTACAGAAATGCAGAGCTGAACCCCAAGGCAAATGAAGCTGTGGATCACGGTACCAGGCAAAATAAAAGTTCAAAAACTCAGTTTGGCAGAGAGGCCAAGAGTTGAGAGCAGAGATGAATTAATAGGTGATACTGGTTTTTATTATTTATATTCTGGAGGCATTCAGAGTGCCAAACTGAACTTGGAAGAGCTCAAAGGCTTCCTGCATTTCTGTCTGGTGTCTTGCAGAGCAGAACTGAGCCCAAAATCCAGGCTGATATTTATCCCTCTGCCAGGCCTTGAGGTATAGCCACAGGTTTAATCAAACCTCAAAACTCTGATGTGAGAAACTGCAAAAGCTCACCTTATACAATGGTTTTCAGACCGCTGATGGCAAGTACTTCTGAAGTCTATTAATAACAGTTCATTACACTTCAAAAAAGAAAAGTGGAATATAACATATTTATACCCTTTTCTTCAATCCCGTTATTAAGCATGGATTAAAAGTTTTTTCCTGCATATAGCTCTTATAAACTATATGAGCAATTAAAACTTTTTTCTAATGCACATATACTTTATTCACTCTGGAGGAGAAATCTACAGTCAAAACATTTAATTATCTTGAAAGAAAATGCATCTTCCTTCCAACTTAAAAAAAAAAACAACTTGGCAAGGTATCTGGAGCTACAGCTAAATATAATTACTAATGGAAAGCAAATCTGTTTAAAAAATCCTGCTATTTTTTCCCCAACAGATAAGTATGAAATAACTTCAATTATGGAAACAGGAATCCATGTTCTTTCATTATGTCTGGAGAGCACTTCCATCTCTGCCACACTTTATACACATCCATTATGCAACATTATGCATTTCATATAATAACACTTTATCTGTTCACTGATTTCATGGATTTCTTCTAGTACATTTAGTTTTATTAACTCCTTTTCAACTAAAAAGCAACAGAGCAATCCAATATTTTTTAACAAAGTCTGCAAGGCCAAACAATGAGACTGCTGCCTATGTCCCCACACCACAGAAAGTGGCTAAAGATGCAGCTATGTGGAAACACAACATTAAAGCACATTAGCATATCTCCAGACAAATAAAAGCATCAGCATGCAAACAACTGGTAAATCACTATTTCCAGAATAAGTACCCTTAGCTGTCTAATGCCCATAATTCACTCAGAACATTCAAACTCGTCTCTCATGGATAGAGCCGAAGGTCATTCTGAAATACTCAGCTCACTCATTTATTAAAGCAGATGGTAAAAACCATAATAAATCTACCTGCAAAGTGTCCCTGTCACTCAGAAACATTTTCATATAGATCATCAAGGAGATCAGATTTTTTAAAGTAGTAACTGTAAGACAAGTTCAGATAATCTCTGAGCAATATTTTAAGAATAAGAAAAATACTGTACGGTGATGAGAAACTCTTGTAACCTCATTTTCCTCAATCTAAACCAAAGATGATGAAAAAACACACCCGGAGTTGCATCCAAAAGCCAAAACTAATTGTTAAGGTAACTTTACAGCTCACCAAAAAAAGGAAACAAAGCCCCCTTGCTCTCCTTTATGCATTCCATGCTTAACAGTGCACCCAAAACAGGTTGAGCAAACCCTCCTGTAGAGATCTTGCTCTCCCCCTGAGAAGTCAGGGAGACCTAGGCAGACAGTTTTGATCATTGTCCAATTTAGGTGGTTGTGGATAGGCAGAATGAGTTGGTTTTTTGCATGTATTTTCAGCCTTACATGTATGAAAATATAAGAGGCAAGGGCAGCTATCAAGATTCAAGGAGGAAGGACAAACAGAATGGCGTATTTTTTATAATGAGAGAAAAAAAAAGGTAAAAGGAATGGTCAAAGCAGAGGTTCAGTTATGTCACTGTCCAAAAACACATTTAAAAAAAAAACATTTTACAAAAACAGATCATGTGCCTATATAAGCTAAGAATTACTGTGTAGGTATCTCGATTCTACAGAAGTGCACAAAGACAGTGCAATACAGAAAGTAACTTCTTAGACAAGTCAGCCTTCATGTAAGTCTTCACTGTCTTGGGAGAAGGAAACCAAGCTCGTTGTGCTTACTGCTCCAGAAGGAGGTCTTCAAAAACTTCCATTTCCAAGATATGAGCACAAGAGAAAAAAAAATTAATCGGGGCCGCATTGACACCCATCCACATGAAAGCTCAGCTAAGAGGGAGGAAAGGCTCAGGCTTTCAAATCACAAGACACTGCATTCTGCACACGTATCAGTGTGTAAGACACCCAATTTACCTTTCCATTTCAGAGCTTCCCATGCCAGAGACATCACCCACAGTGTGAGGTGAGCTCTCATGAGGTGCTCGAGGTGCACATACACTGCTGAGAAAAGCAGTCAGCTTTCCAGGCCTCTCTCCTGGAACAACAGAATTAAAAGTTCTGCTGATGGAGAAAGCTTTGGTCTCCTTCAAGCCACACAGCAAAGAGAGCAACTCCGAGGGAAGAGCACCATGGAGGATGGAACACCCTGAACCTGAGCCAGGCAGGGCAGCAGTGGAGCTCCTCACACACCACGCTGGTGTTCCAACACCTGAGCACTACAGGAGGACTCCAGGGACAGAGATGACAAAGTGATCTCAGTGCTCAGCTGCAGCCAGATGGGTGTCAGGAGCTCTATCCAAGTTGCATGGCTGTGTAGAAATGTCAACAATAGATCGTGGCTGTAAGAACTTGGAAGAGCTGAAGGCCACAAGAACATCTGGATGGAAGAAGGAATGGAACTGAACTGCTTCCCAAATTACTTTCATCTCTACTCATTCATGAGAATATAAAAAAGAAGCAGATCTTGAGGATATTTTTACATTTATAAAATATACCTGGTGAGGAAAGTAAAAACATTGACATGTTATCTCAAAAACAAGGGCCAGCCTGGGAAGGCAGAGCCAAAAGCAAAATCTGATGGAACAATCAGGTGCTTCTCTGACCAAACATGTGTGAAATTACCTGTCTATGCATGCTCTGGAAAGAAAACAAGAAAGAGAAGAAAAAATGGCACTCGAACTGGAGTCTCAGCTAGAAATACTGTGGTAGAGAAGCATCCCAAGGAGCCTATTAGCATAAACAAAACAAAAACCCAGGAGAATGCATCAGACACAGACCAAAAGAAAAAATAACATAAGAAAGTCTTAAGAATAGCTCACAATTCTGAAGAGTTACATAAATTTAGGGCAGTCCCAGTCACCCTGTTGGGGCATAAACTAGTATCGAAGCCCAGACCTGCAGCACCAAGTAGGTTACAGATATGTTTAAAAAACAACGACAAAAAAGACATGTTGAGTCAACAATCATAAAGATCATGTTTTTAGGCTTATTTAAACCCATGTCCAGATACACATTAACACTGATGCTCACAGAAGTGTTTCATCAGCAAGAAGTGTTGGGAAACATGGTGTTCTCTTTCTGAGATTGAATGTTCAAAGAGTGGACTTCCCTTCTGCCAATGGAAATAAACAAGCATTGCTTACTCTACCCAAAATCAAAGCACAAATGTAAGGGTACAATTCTCAGGAAGTGAAATAAGGTCAAGCTGAACAATCATGAAAATCATCTGTAATCATCAAGGCAGAGTTCTGAACAAAATTCTTTATAATCTTTAAAAGTGTTAGTGTTTCTTAGTGTCAAATAGAAATAATTTTATTTTTGCTGAGAAAATGCGTGTGGTATTTCATGTGGAGGTTAGAGAGCTCCTACAGATCTGCCAAAGAATACAGAAATGTTATTAGAACAAAACCCAGTGCAACACTCGCAATCTTTAGAGAACATTCCTCCATCTGGACAACACTTTACAGCTCTTGTCTCTCGTGTCTGGGAGCAGGCCAGATCCTGCCACTAATATTTATGTTCATTTTGGGGATCCCTGAGGAGCCACATTAATTCAGGAACAATGTAAAAGCAGAATTAGTCCTTTCATTTCTGTCCAGACCTAATTTACTGCTGAACATTCAAAGTTTGGATATTATACTTTACTTCAGTGCCACATTTAGGTCGACCCCAAAATATTCACGGATGTTTCTGAAATAAAAGATAATCTGCAAACGCATATTAAAATACTGGGATAAAATACAGGGATTTATTCCCCCAAAATCTGCGTTCGTCTCAAGCTGCTTATAGATCTGCAAAAGAAACAGCTGCTGTGCACTTCAAAAAGCAAAGCACAAAGAGCAAGCTAACTGCTGCACAAGGATACCATGGAAGTGCACGAGAACCCCAATCAGAGCAAGAATTACTGAAAAGTGCAGTATGCCAGGATGAACCTGGACTTCTCTTTTTTGCTAGGGAATTATTAAACCACAGCTCTCAAGCCCAAACTTTAAATCTTGAGCCCCACCCCAGATCCAGTCCCTGAAATGCAGCTCTGTCTCGTCCCTGACACAGATTTGTGACTTGCTGAGGTACCCCCAGAGAAGAGCAGCTCTTTGACCAGGTGTCCTCACAGGGAGCATCACACAGCCCTGGAGATGGTGGCCCCTGCTCTGCTCCTCTCCATAAACCACAGCCATGCATCCTGCTGGGGAGCATTAAAATGCTGTGCATGACAAGACTTTCTAAGTCTGTCTTACAAAAGGTCCTGTTAATTACAATATTTTCAGCCACTCGAGCTATACTCCCCTTGCCTAAATACAGCAGACATGGAC